ATATTTACGGCAATCAGGTACTGTGGTAGAATTAATTCTACCACATGGTAGAATGCCGTAATGCCGTAATTCAGTAATTCTACCGCCAACTATAGATCGCAGGGTACTATGTGTATAAGTAGAAATTTCATTTTCGCTTATACTCAACTACCAGCATATAACTATTGCAAATACATCGTTATGCTTTCTGTTTTCCTCAGTATTGCTATTATCTGACGTATTTTTGTGATGCGCATAAGTCTGAATTCTAAATGAGTACCGCCAAGTGAATACCAGAAAGCCAGAAAGTATAAAAATAGAAAATTTAAAAAACAGGATGTAAGCTTTAAATAATGATAGAGCATGATAAACAAAAAAAACAGTACAAGTATTATTCGAGTCGAATCAACCAAAAGGTTATAAAGATTCTTTTTTTGACTTTCTGGTTTTTTTTTTTACTTAACGGCACTCAAATAACCCATCAATCATATTTTCAATAATATATATGCTTTTGGTATGAAAACTAGCCTTTTCTACTAATTTAGATATGTTTTGCAGAGCAAGTGATCCATAATTTAAACCTTTTAACAATCAAATACAAACGTTCAGTATTTTTTGCTAGAGTGATTCTTAATTTCAAAAAATCGGTACTTTATATAAAATAAGAATGAAGACAAACTATACAAAAATATAATATAAATGCAACTAAATAAATGAAGATAATACAGTAGTAAATACTAAATTTTCAAATAAGAAAATTATTTTCGTAATATGTTATTCACAATGTCTCCGAAATTAGCGTAAGCCGCCAAATATCTAATAGTTTCGAGATGCTTCTTGAAACTTTGTATCAAGTGGGTCCATCCCTTTTTAAAAATTAACAGATCGAGAAATAGATTTCCATTTTATTGATGAAATGAGATTTTTAAATAATCCAAATATCTACATCCTTATAGTAAACAAGAAAATCATTCTTATTTGGAAGTTTCTTGCTCTTGAATTTTGAGACCATTTATTTGAATTTCCAATTCATTAAGCTCCACTTTTTTGCCTAAGAAGTCTTGGATTTCTTCAGCAGTTAACACATCGGATAATTGTTTTTTAACTTTTTCTAATAGTTTTCGGGCAAAAGTGTTGTCATTTTGTAAAACTTCTTCCTGTGTTTCTAATAAAAGTTCTAACCATGATTGATTATCTTTGCTCAATTTATCTTTAGTAACAGCTAATTGGTACTCCAAAATTTCCTCTTCAATTTTTTTAGCCACTAATTTTAAATCAACAATACCAGTGCTCTTAACTTTTCGAATCGCACCAATTAATCTTTTTACTTGATCTTTCGATTTATCATCTGAATCGAACACGATTTTTTGGTTGTAGCCTAAATTAAGATTTTGATATTTTGGTTCACTACATAAACTTAAATGACCTAATTGATTATAAGTCAAGTTAACGTTTTGGAGAGCAGAATTCTCTTTAATATTTAAATTATTAAGAGTGGTATAAGTAATTGTCAGAGTAGTTAACTTATTACATTTATCGATCTTCAAATTAGTTAACTTATGCTGTTGTTGCCCATTACCTTGGATAAATAGTTGCTGCAAATTAATAAAGTCATTAAGATTTAACTCTGATTCCAAAATAACATTATAGAATTGGTAAGTTGGAGGGGTAGAATTATTGTTTTGATATTGATTTGGATTTGTGCAATAAGTACAATTATAATTGTAGGCGTTGACGTTATGACCACTTTGACATTGTACGTAAATATAAAGAGATGTTGCTTGTGCTCTTTGATTTTTCGGAATTTTTTGATTTAACCATTCGCTTGCATTCACCATGTCTTTGCAATGTTAATCAAAATTATTTCCACTTTTCTGTTGTTTAAAAACAAGATAGTGATTAATACGTATTTCATATTTTCCAATGAATTTGGCATCAACTTTATGCGCAAACCGATAAAATTATCGTCATTCACATAATACCAACCGTACTTTTTAACGTATAAATATATATTTGAATTTTAATCTCTAGTTTTTTCTACGTAATACGTATATAATTACGGAGAAACTATTTTTACGTAGTGGTCAGAGGATATGTCACACAATCTGTACTGTTATACCATTTTCATCTGAATAACTAAACATCACGTTTTGCAAACCTGATTTACAATTACGATTACCATTATTATGTATAATATTTTGTATCATGGCATCTTACGATTTACACAAAAATAAATATTTATTTTTACTAACGACTATAGGTCTTTTTTGTACAATTAAAAATAAAATAATTTTTAAGATTCCTTATAATTCTTGACCTTTTCTAGCGAATAAACTCCTCTATTACATTGATTCAAGTTTTAGCACTTGATTTGAATGTTGACCGGTAAGAATTTTATTCGAAAAATTTAAACTTTTCATTAAAGAATTGAGGTCTCAAACCTTTTCACTGATCAAAGCAGTTAATTCTGTCACTAGAGTTTTAAGTATTCTGGTTATAAGTATCAAATATCATGACTACAAGATATATTATTTTTATATAATTATAAAACCTATATGAAATTTTTTTTTTTTTTTTTTTTTTTTTTAAGGTGAGGTTTTGTTTTTATCTTTATTATAATTTGTATTAAGAATTCACAAAGGGTTCTTTGATCAAAGATCAAGTTTACAAATTGTTTACAAGAATGAGACTCAGATTATAGATATACTAAGACTATCTAGTTTAATCTAATTTATCTGCAACCTAAACCTACTAGAGTAGTTAAATCTCACCTAGGTTTTGTTAGTTAAAGTATTGTTCATTTGATAGTTAATTATATTGTTAGTTGGAATGTTATATTTAATCCATTCAGATATTCAAATGGATGTTTTCTTTTTCATCATTCTTATAGGTAGGCAAATATTGTGTTTATCTCCTATATGTTATTGGTCTGCTAAATCACAAATACAGTTGTAAGTATATAGTGATCTAGGGTAGTTTATGTTTTCTATATTATTTGAATTATTACATATATTTATTTGTATGCATACAGGTCAAGTTGATATATTGTGTTAGTGTTTCAATTGACTAGTTTTGTACAGTATGGTTTTCATATTTAATTGTATATTTCATTTGATAGTTTTATTAAAAATTTAGTAATAATATTAGTTGCAATTTGGTTGAAATCTGTTTATTCTTGAATTGTTTGAATAAGTAACTAAGGAACATATCTTTAAAAAGTTATATAAACATTTGTATTATTTAGAATATAGTTATTAGAAGTTAGATATTGGTGACTGAACAGTTTGTTATATAATTCTTGTAGTTCAGTATTTGTAATTTTTAATCTGCTGAAATTAAAATTTTTTGTATAGTATTGTTGATTGTATGGTTTAAATTTAGTGTATCAGAGCAATTTAACCAGTATTATGGTTCTTTATATACATTACAAGAGATGCAGTTATTGTTAATAAATATTGTTTGGTATAATGAGTAAAGATGTGATAGTGTTGGTAATATATTTAACATTGTTTTAATTTTAAAAGCTTTGTTATAACAAAGTTTAAAGTTTGTATATAGTGATGATCTTTTGTTGTTATTGTTGAGATAAGATCATATTGCATTTCAGTTAATTTGTATAACTATTGGTATAATGTTTTCTATACAGTATTGTGATAATCACATTGCATGTTTTGGGCATTACAAATGTTTTTGATAGATCTTCTTGTTGGTTGTTTAAATGTAAGATTGTTGTATTGTAGGTAGTATAATAGGTTATATATATTGTTATATATAAATTCTAATATGTATAGATGATTTCAGTTTTTTGCTAATTTATCTGCTATGTTGTTGAAGATATTGTTGCTATGTGCAACTACTTATTGAAAGTTGACTTTGATTTAGTAATTTTTAGTTAGATTTAGTAGAATATATTATATTAACCAATAGTTGTAAAAATATTATTTGTTTGGTATAATTGTGTTATTTTGGATTTGGACCCAACCAATTTCTATTTTACATTGTTCAGATGTAATATGTGTTATTAACCCATCAGTATAGAAGATTAGTTGTAAATAATTAGTATTATGTTGTGCAATTTGTTGCAATGTTTATATAGAATAATTGTTATTAAATAATTCAAGTATTAAGCTATTCTGAATTGTAATTGTAGAAGATGTTGGTATTGTAATAGGGTGTTTTAATACAATTGAGTAAAGTAAGTCCAGTAGGTTAGAATGTAGATTGAGTTTTTTTGATAAGTTTGTATAGACAATTTTTTTAAGAATTTGGTTGCAAGGCTAGCTGTAATATGAATATATATTTGTTTTGTATATGTTTAGAGTTCAAAGAGCATTCTGTATATTGTTTGCAGGTGTAGTCTAGATGAGAATATAATGCTGTTTGTGAAGTATCAAACTGGATTGTCTAGTATGTAATGAAAATAGAGTTATCTATTTGATTATGTCTTCTGGCTTTTCTGATAATTATATCAGTTTGGTTGTATATTATTAGTCAGAGTTTTAGTTTTATTTTGTAATATCCAGTTATAAAAAATAGTGTATTTATATTTGATAATTGTAAATGTTAGAAGTTAATTTTTCTTGTTTGTTGGAAGGCAAGTAATTTGTTTTCTAAGGTTAGAAACCATAATGGTTTGTGGCCTTTAGGAATTTGTTGTATTTATGAAGAAATATGTTGCCAATTTAATAGCACTGAGTTATTATTTGAAATTAATTATTCTAGATATATAATTTGTTTTGTATACAAATGTTTTTTGAATTGAGGATATAATTTGTGTAAATGTAATAGTTTTTTAATAGATGTGTATAGATATTGTTATGGGTAGATTCAACCCTAGGACCTTGAGAAAACATTGCATAATGACCCACGATCTGCACCATGAAAACTGTCATACCACAATACCTGTGACCCAAGACAAATCAAGCTCCTTATTAAGTGACAGTGCCGATCCATTAAAGAAAAAGCCATCTGCCCAATTTGGAATCCAACTGTTAAGGTAATATTACCTTGACAGGAAAAGTCTGTGGCCATGTCAATGTGTCATCATATGTTGGATTGTATGCCATTGTGAGATGATGCTAAAGTAATGACAGATGAATCGTAAGAAAAAGAGAAGAGTGTTAGTAAAAAAGGGAAAAACAGTCTATGACAATGAGAAAAAGAGTGTCAAAGCTGTGTCCCAAGTTCACCTTTTTCCCCCTCAAAAATGTTCTATAAAGAGTGCCTCTTCACCCTATAGATGCCATATTCATAAGATATAGTACCTTTCTATCTCTAAAAACCTGAATCACCTTGTAACTTGTAACTCACCCTATAAATAAAATAAAATAATTAATTAATAAAGTTCTAATTAAAATAATAAAGTTAAAAAAAAAAAAACTTAAATAAAAACCCTACACTCCTTTAAAGTATCTTCTGGTAATGTTCTCAAGGCTGCCATAGACCAGTGCCAAATCGAATCCGCCTCACCTGCCTTGAGCAATGTTACATGATGTCGACGAATTCGAAGCGACAATTTATTACATTCCTTCTTGTCCCTATAGTGCTGTTTCCGACCCTGTACCCTGTATCAATATGAAAGTGTAAAAAGTTTGAAGTTGCTAGAATGTATTTGGATAGTTAGTTGAAGGTTATTGAGTAGTTGTTTTATTTTAAAGATAATGATATGTTTATTTAGTTCATCTATTATTAGGTTGTTATAACATAGAATATTTGTTGTTAATCATAGATTATTTTATAATTGTTGAAGTCTAATGTGAGTACTTGTGCCTATAAGATTAGAGTCATTAATATAAAGTAAGAAATTTGAGATATGGTATTGAATTTGTATATTCCAAATGTTTTTGATACTATATATATTGTGATTTAATAATATACTATGTGGTGTAGTTGTAGGTAATTTGGATTTATATTTAGCAGTAATAATGTATTGTAATAGGATAGAGTTGCATGTTGTGCATAGTAAGACTATATTATGTATGTAGTATTCTAGAATAGAAATAATAACTGTGTTTATAATATATACTACTTGTTTGTCTGTTATATTTTTGGTTTTAAGTATTTTATTAAGTCCTAGTGCTTCTTGTTTAATTAGTTTAATTTGAATAGCATATTTAAAAGTAGTTGTGAACCAACATTCTAGAAATTTAAAAGGTGTGTGACAAGGTAATGTTTGTATTATAAAGTTTATAAAATAGATGGTTAAAGTTGATTTTGTATTAGAGATTAGAATAGATTTGTGTAAGTTAACTTTGATATCGGACATAATATAAAATGTTGATGCTGTTTGTACTATCTCTTGAAGTTGTTCTTTGGTTTTAGCTAACCATAATGTATCATCCATATATGTCAAGATTGATATTAAGTTGTTACTGATTGGTATTTTATTGGATTAAGTTGAGAGATCTATTTGGTTGTTAAGATATAACCAGTATATCTTTTATTTATATTGTTAATAAGTAGATTATAGTATAAGTACTAAAGAAGAGGTGTTATAGTCTTTTCTTGATTAATAGCATTTTGTATTTTGTATGAAAAAAAGAAACCAAAGTTAGTAATTATTTGATTGAAGTGATTTTGAAGTAGATTAATTATAGTATTAACTAGATATGTAGGCATATGTATTTATTGTAGTGCTTTGTTAAGAAGTTAAATATTTACTAAGTTATTAGCTTTACTTATATCTTATAATAGAATCCAAATTTGTTTTTTAGTACAGGTTGCATCTTCAATAAAGTTGTTAAGTATATGTATAGGGTTGTTAGTTGAGTTGCCTGAAAGTACAACATAGTTATGTAGATTTAAAATAGGATGAGTTATAAGGATTTTGTTTAGATGA